CAACTGATAAAATAATCTACTAAATCACAGGATTTCAATAACTTCAACTGATAAAATAATGTATTTGATGATTGATTAATTATTTGATAATAATGCTGTTTACAGCTCTTTTTTGTAAAACAAAAACAGGATTTGTAATTGTTTTACATGCTTTTCACCAAACATCAGTGTGGATTAAACAACATAAACAGAGTTTTATCACTGAATACCTCCTTTATTTAATACAGTGCTCCAACAGATTTATGGTCAAAGTTTTAAAGCAGTTTATTTTAAGACAATACAAATTTGAAGCTCTTGCAGGTCCCATACATTGCTGTCGAGGGCCACATTTGGCCTGCAGACCTTGAGTTTGACACACGATCTACAGACTGAATAAATTAGGCATAAAATCTTTATGGAAATGGTACAATTGATTCAAATCCATCTGATGAAATATTTTGCTAACAGACAGACGTCATGCACTGTAAGCTGTGTTTTATTATAATTTCTGCTGCACTGCCTGGTTCTGTCTGCAGGGAAACAAACACATCACAGCTCTGTTTTCTTTTGTTGTTATTGTGAGAAATCATTTCTCCTGAACATGTTTGAATATAAAATGTGATCAGTTTAATTATGTAATAATAATAATAATAATAATTTTCTCTGCAGGAAACCTGAGTGGAAACCGTAAGAAGCTGAAAGGGAAGAAGTTTCGTGCTCGCTCCAACTCCACAGAGTGAGTTTCTGTTGGACCAGTTTCAGCTCCTTTAGCTTCAACATATTTCTACATTTCATGTCAACAAATCCAGATAAAAGACCTGAACGACTCTTTAGCACCACTTGTCACAGTTTTGTATCAGTGTTATTCTGATTTTATTTAAAGACATCACAACACATGATTATTTAACTGAAGTGTTTGTGTCAGAAACCACTGATCTGTGGCATCATGTTTTAGATGATCCACAGTTTCTGTCTTCAGTGGTTTTCAGCTACATTTGGTCTTTAAACCTGATTTGTTGGCAAC